CTAATAGGAATGCTAAAGTTATGGAGGTGGGCCAATTTTCTAATGGAGCATGGGTCTGGAAAAATATTTGGAGACGTGAATTTTTTGGCAGGGAAAAGAATGAAGAACAAAGATTAAAGGAGATCCTCATGAGCGGGATTGTGCTATCATCCCAACCGGACCAAAGGAGCTAGAGCATAGATGCAACAAATGGATACACAGTCGGCAAGGCATACTCAATGATGGTTGGACAGAGCAGAATTCTGGAGGCAAGAATATGCAAATGGCTATGGAACAAACTAAATCCGACAAAAGTAAGCTGTTTTGGTTGGCGCCTTTTACTTAATGGCCTTCCAACAAAATCAAGTCTTCAAAAGAAGGGCATTTTGATTGAAGAAGAGGAGAGCATCTGCAGTGTTTGTAGAAGGAATGTCGAGGATGAAAATCACTTATTTGTTCAGTGTTATAAGATCCAAGATCTATGGATGAGCTGTTACAAATGGTGGGGGATTTCCATCTCCCTCCCCAATTCTATTTCTCTTCTTTGTGAAGCTCATAGCCAAGGGATAAAGAAACTAGTTACTGCTGAGGTCTGGTTTTTCATATTCTTGGTGGTGACATGGTCCATATGGTACACAAGAAACAAAATCATACACAACTCACAACAATGGGAAGAAGACAAAATATTTGACCTAATTCAAAAGAGGTCTTTTGCATGGATTAGGGAGAAATCTGTAAACACTATGTTCTCCTTTTTTAGTTGGTATAATTTTCCTAGTTTGTGTGTACAAGAAATCACTAAAAACTAGATTTGTTGTCAGACATTCAACTTTGATTCTTGAATGTCCTCTTGGATTACCTTTTGTAATGTCTCATGGAGACTAAGAGTTGAGTACCACTTGTACTTCTCGTCATAATAAAATATTTTGATTCATCCAAAAAAAAAAAAGCAAGAATCCTCCCCTTCTAAACATGGGACCTGGGTATTGCCGCGTAAAGAAAAATATTAAGACCAGGAAATTTTATTTTTTTATTAAATAACCAATTATGATAATTAAAAATATCGATTTTTAATTTAGTTTTAATTTAATTATTTAATTATTTATTAATTCTATTGATAATTATAATTATTAATTATTTTTAATAATTAAAATAAATATTTTTATATGTCACGATAACTACATCTACGTAAACATTATTATGAGAAAATAAGCAAGAAGTTTAGGCTTACTTTCTTGGCAACTTCAAGGGCATTGACTGTCATTCAAATTCACAAATCCTGGGTCAGTCAATGCATAAATAATGCAGTAGTATACTCCACCACTATTGATTTTTCTGCACTGAATTTTCCAAGAAAGGCAGTCAAACGAAAATACCCTTCAGCTGATAATCTTATAAAATTACTTTACAATTTTTTTTTCTTTTGGGTAAGGTATAAAATATTAAAATTACTTAAAATTACTTAACAATTATCCTAAACAACGCTAGAGAGGTATAGACACAAAACTTCCAGTCTAGATATGAAAATGGGTAACTCGAAACAAATGGTTTTCTGGTTCTCCTTCATCCTGTTAGCCTTAGTAGAGTCTGGTCCTAGTGACAGTGGATGCGAGGTGGGGCGGTGTGGGACTACCAAGGTGAAGTTCCCCTTCCGGTTTCCCTGACAGCCGCCTCACTGCGGCTATCCTGGGTTCAACTTATCTTGTTCCGAGAGGAAGGAAACCCTCCTTCACCTGCCCAACTTATCAAACATCTCCGTTGAAAACATCGATTACATGAAGCAGCTGATTCAAGTATACGACCCAGATAATTGCTTTCCCAAAAAGCTAACTTCTGACCCCCTATCTTCTTCTTATTTCAATTTAGCAGAAGGCTTTAAATACAATTTCAGCCTATTCAGTTGCCCGCCGGAGGAGAACCGGGATTTGGTCTGGAAGATCCCTTGCTTAAGCGATACTTCCTCCAAAGTTTATGCCCAACGTGCTAATTCATACGTTAATTACTTTCCTCTGTTGCATTGTACCAAGATGCGTGACGTCTTGGAAGTCCCATATGCCTTGATGACGGCCAAAGTAAAGTTCTTCAGTTGAGTTGGAATGAACCGAACTGCAGGGATTGTGAGATACGGGACGGGACGTGTCTGGGGAATGGTAGTGGTAGAGAATTTACAACTTTTTGTGAAGGAGGAAAGCCCAAAGATAAAGGTATTGCTCTGCTCTGCTGTTCTGCCCCTTACATTTCCGGTTTTCCTGCTCCAAATTTAGTGGAATTCATAGCCTCTTTTGTAACTTCTGCGTTAGAATGGGAATAGAGAAAATCCTAAATCTAGCCATTAAACTTTCATGATTTTGGCAGTCAAGTCTCTAAAGATTTTCTTAGGTAAAGTCCCTATAATTTCTAAATTCATTGTTCTAGGGCCAATATGCAATAAAGAAAGTTTCTTGTGTATAAATCATGAAATTGAGAGAAATCAAGATGTCTTGATAAATATTAAAGGGCTAAATTTAGGACTTTTCTATTATTAGAGTTGGTTGGATGAAAAGAGTAGTGATATACTGGTATGGTAGTCTGAGAAGAAGAAGATTTAATTAGTTTTAAACAATTTGGAATTAGAAGATTTAAATCTTCCAATTTTTATTTTTATTTTTTGGTTGGTGGAAGAATCTATCATGTTAGCATTAAACCTCTCAAGTGAATTGATAGCATATGTGCATAAGTAGACATTTAAATTTAGAAACATGAACTAATATCCTGGTGATTTTTAACAGGTCATTTAAAAGGAGAAATTGCAGGTAAGATTTATACTAATTACTCCTTATGTTATTCATTTTCTGGGGTCATGGGGTCATGGGATCATGGATGCATCCTATTTGACCATATATACTGTTCTCTGCAGGCTTAATCTTAAGTTCCCTTTTTCTGATGCTAGTTCTGGGTTCAGCCTATCATCTTTATAGAACTCGCAAGATAGAAAGAGAACATCAAGTGAAGATAGAAAAATTTCTAGAGGATTACAGAGCCCTTGAGCCCTTAAGCCTACTCGATATTCATATATTGATATACAGAGAGTTACAGAGAATTTCAAAGATAAATTGGGGCAGGGAGCCTACGGAACCGTGTACAAGGGAAAGCTTTCAGATGAAGTGTTTGTTGCTGTGAAGATCTTGAACAATTCAGTGGGAAATGGAGAAGAATTCATCAATGAAGTGGGAACAATGGGGAAAATCCACCATGTTAATGTTGTTCGATTGGTTGGTTTCTGCGCAGATGGGTTTAGAAGAGCACTAGTTTACGAGTTCTTACCAAATGATTCTCTGGAGAAGTTCATATCTTCGGCTGACATGGAAAGCAGTTTTCTTGGCTGGGAGAAGCTGCAAGAAATTGCTCTTGGAACAGCCAGAGGAATTGAGTATCTTCACCAAGGCTGCAATCAACGGATCCTTCATTTCGATATTAAACCACACAACGTCTTGCTAGACCATAACTTCAATCCAAAGATTGCAGATTTTGGACTTGCAAAGCTCTGTTCCAAGGATCAAAGTAAGGTGTCCATGACAACAGCTCGGGGGACAATTGGATATATTGCACCTGAAATATTCTCTAGGAACTTTGGTAACGTATCCTGCAAGTCAGATGTCTATAGCTTCGGAATGTTGTTGCTGGAAATGGTTGGGGGAAGGAAGAATGTTGATGTTAAATCAGAGACTGATGTCCAAATTTATTTTCCGGAGTGGATATATAATCTCTTAGAACATGGAGAAGACTTAAGGATCCATATTGAGGAGGAAAAAGATGTCAGGATTGCAAAGAAACTGGCAGTTGTGGGACTTTGGTGCATCCAGTGGCACCCAGTGGATCGTCCTTCAATGAAAGCTGTTGTTCAAATGTTGGAGGGAAATGGAGAGGATTTAACCATGCCTCCTAATCCTTTCGCTTCCTCCAATGGTCCAGAAAGAATTCATCCGAGTGCTTTAGGAAGGCGCCGGTTCCCCGAGCTAGAAGCCATCTCAGAATCCAACCAAGAAACAGAGGGAGACCATGTATGAGCATCTAAGATAGATAATGAGAGAATTTAGTGAATAGTGATTTGTAAAATGGAATATATCAAGTTATGCACTTGTTCTTGATACTTGTAAAATCTCAAGATGTATACCCACTAAATAAGTCGAAACCTATATGTAAATTTGGAAAATTATTAGTGAATATCAATCCATATCAAAATAAGGAGATTTTATTAGAGCATAAATCCAACATGGTTGTCCTCGATGAATGTGTATAAAGAACCTGAACAA